ATAGTCCCTGTTTTGTTTTTTTTCTCAATGAAATGAATGTACTATATTTTAGATTGATAATGTTTTTTATTTAATATTTTGTATTAAGGGAATTTTATGATAATAAATAATTTTATGGAATAGTGATCCATTTATTACCTTTGTTTGTTAGGTTTTTGAGCACATAGACCTGAAAATGAAATTTCCAACTTAAACTGTAGTAAATTGTGAATGCTTTGGAGCACAGTCTTACGTTTTGTCTCTTTTTAAAGAAGACACTTGGAAGACACTTTTAGTGAAAAAGCTATATGTTTATTATGAAAAATGAACAAAAATACTATTTTAAAATTTTATTTCAAATATATATTTTCCAAAACATGTTTTACTCTAAAACGGCAAGAAAAGCCATAAATCTAAACAAGTTGTGTTCCAAATCTGAGGTTGATATCTCAAAAAATTTACTTTCAGTAAGATTTTGTTTGGAAAAGGCATAACAAAGCTGTGGCCATAATTCATGTAAAACATGCACTAATTATAACACATAATTGATCACACTTTGTTAAAAATTTCCTAAAAACACTCAAGTTTGCTGAATGATATTAAAAATTACTGTCCTCATATCATGTGAACATTTTCAAAATTGCTACTTATTGATGATTGCATTACATTTTCTCTACTTTTTGCTGATTCTTACTAGGTGTCATGTGGCGCTTTTTCACTGCGTGGTATGACTCGACTCGGCTCGGCACAGCTCAGTACGGCACGGCACGGTTTGGCTCGGCACGGTTTGCTTTTCCACTGCAGTTCAGTACCGCTTTAGAGTGGGCGGGATTATTCACATGTCGTTATAGTTGTGCCGCCTCTACTACCACGACTCATAAAAAAACAGTTTCCTTCCGCATCGCCCCATCAAGCTCTCGCTGGATCCGCTCCTCTGCTATCAACGAGAGGAACGTCTGTTCTTCCGCAACAGACAACAAAACGTTTTGGTTATTAAAAAAAGGTGCGCTCGTTCAAAACAGTTGCATTCGATCCTTCGCTGGCTGTGCTGAATGCTGATTTAAATCTAGCGGTTCTTTTGTGTTTGTGTCGCAAGTTCAGTGACGCAGGTAGTGACGATTCTCTCCGGCCAATCAGTGATCAACAGAGTTTACACGTCACGTTTTGGTAATGGTACGGTTCAATTGGAACCCCAACCGAGCTGGTACTAAAAAAAGTACCAGGTACCAGGTACTGTACCCAGTGGAAAACCCCCCAAAAGTGAACCGTACTTAACCATACCGTGCCGTACCATACAGTGGATTTGTTTGTTTTAGTTACCATTGATGTTTGATTAATTCATCAGACTTGTTTCTCATTGGTTTCACTGGTTTGTTCGTTTATATTTAGCCTGTTTTCTGTCAGTCTTTGTGCCATTTTTGTTCGCATTTTGCTGGTTAGTCTGTTCAAGTGTTTTGATATTTGAGAATCCTGAGTAACTTTGTTATTTTTGAGTGTTTGAATAAATTGAGACAGCTGCAATTAGATCCTGCTACAACCATGCCGTGACAGAAAGATGGAAACAGAGTTTTTTGGACATTGCTCATCTCACTCGTAATGATGATGACAGACTCTGTGTGCAGGGGCAGGAGTCAGCATTCAGATAAAGAGATGCCTGCCTGGAAATGCTCCTCAAGAGACGTTTGTGGAATATGTGAACTGGGTCCTTCTCCAATGTGGATCCCCCTTCACCATCAGCAAGAGAGTGGAAGATATTTTAAAATTTATAAGGGAAATTTTTAAAAAAGCCCATCGCAAACCCAGAGCCAGAGCTGATGCCTGCCACAGACCATGTGCCAGGGCTTATGCCCTCTATGGAGCCAAAGCCTGAAGACACATCTGTCCCAGAGGTTAAAGCTGGCCTACCAGTCTGACCAGGTGCATGAGCCAGCAACACTGTGTGTTCCAGTGGGCATGCTCATGGAGTTCGAGGGCATGGAGTGGAACCAGACCCACACTCCCATCGCTGAGGGTGAGCTGCAGCTGGCCTCTGTGGTATTAAATGAGGATTTATTCCCCAAAACCTTGCTTGCCCATAATTTCCGCCCAGCCCTAAGTCTCCTGTATCTCCCCTGGTTCTGCTCAGCCCTGAATCTCCCATGTCTCTGCTGTTTGCGACCAACTCTAAATCTTCTATGTCTCTGCTGGTTCCATCTAGCCCTGAATCTCCTTTGTTAACCCTTACAAAGTCTCCTTTGGTGACATTGCTCCCGCCCAGGCTCTCTCTCTCATCCTCTGTTAAATCTAGCCAGTTCTCTGGCCCTGTCTCTACTGTATCCCTTTAGTCCCTCAGTTCCTCCATCAGTGCCTCCATCCACCTGCTCTGAGTCACTAGCGGGGGGCTACCTGGTCTCCAGCTCTGTCCCCTGGCTACACTCAGGCCTCCTAGCCCTGGACTCCACTTTGGCCCTCTGACCCTTCGGCTCCCCCTGGGCTCCACAGAGTTCCATCGTTCCTCAGACTCCACAAGGCTCCCTTGTCCCTCTGGCTCCGGCTTGATCAGTCGTTGACCTGCTTCCACTACGGTCTTCCAGTCCTCTGGCTGTGCCTCATCCCTCCATCCCTCTTGGTCTAACAGGCTCCTCGTTCCCTCCGGCTCCAACTCACTCAGTACTCACTGCCTCCAGCTCTGGCCTGGCCTGCTGAGTCCCCATCTCCTCCGCAGTCCTGTGAGCCTGAGCCTTGGCCCTCCGGGTCTCAGGAGTCTCCCTGGGTCTTTGGCTCATTAGTTAGTATCTGCCTGGGCTTGTCTTCACCTCAGTTGGTCGGGCTCCTGACTACACCATGTCTCCTCCCTCCTTTGGTTCCGCCATATTACTGCATCCTAGTGGCCCTGTTGGGGGTCACTTCCTGACTCCTCTTGACATCTACTCTTTGGCTCTTCCTGCCATCATCTCCTCCCTGGGTCCTACCTTGTCCATGGGGTCCATTCGGCCAGCTCCACAATCTCTTCCTAAGCCCCCTCCTTCCCTCCTTTTTTGGACTTATGTTAAGACGCCTTTTAAAAGCAGGGTACCATCACAGTAGATCACATTTTGGTTTGAATTTGAGTTGATTTTTCACACTTTCCTTTTTTCTTTGTTATATTTTTATTGAGGTCCCCTTTGATAGAAATCATGTTCCGGGGAGGCCTACTTGAACCACGGGGCCTCAAGCAATTGAATGGTTTGCGTGGTGCCTAAACACTCTACTGATTAAAGCATAGCCGTAAAATCATAATTTTACATGCAGAGTATATTGGTAAGCAAAAAAGCCACTCACGTTCAGAGTTTTCGCCCTTAAAGTAGCCGATAAGGCGTATGTCTTCATCCATTCGCTCAAAGGCACGTTGTTCCATGGGATTACTGATCAACTCCACTGGGTCCTCCAGCAGCTGAAGAATGATGTGAAACACACACATTATGAAAATTAACTGAAAAATTAAGTCAGAACATTATTTATATGTAAAAAATATCTTATAAAAATGAAAATGTATTTAATATTGCTTAAGCAACTTTAATACATTAATTTATACCACCAATCTACTTTATACAGGATTAATATGTAGAAATGACTCTTTAAAGTAACAATTGCAGGTTACTACTTTTGCAGTTAGAGAGCCAAGATCCATAATCTTAAAAGCTGTTTAAACAGTATATCAAAAAGCACAGCCACAGTATATGCACAAATTTCACTCACATCTAGCAGGAATTCAACCAGTGTATCTGCAGAGAGCTCGCCATCAAACTCAATCACTCTTTCATCCTTAAACACATAGATGCTTCCTTCCTCCTCCAGACCTAATGGACAAAGATCACATGATTCAGTGAGGATGCTGTGTGTCAAACCTCAACAATGCCAAGACATATTAGGTGTTTGTTACTGAAACGGTAAAGTAAAAAAACTTTATCTAAAAGGCAATGTAATTAGCACAGTGACTCTTACCAAGCTTTTTGGCAACCTTAGCATCTTTATGTGAGTCTAGCAATCCAAAACCAATATCCTTGTCTTCCAGAACTTGAGCAGCAAGCTGGTGATGCATGGAAGAGACACATCAGTACATTCATAGTGTGAGAATTATATACACAACTGTTGTCTATAATACCAATTTAGTCTGGGCCAACACTTTCACAGTATATCTAAGGAGTCTTAAACCTGGAAAAGTTTTGTGTAATTTATGGCTGATATCTGCATATAGTCGAATCTATACTTCATTAACTTTGTTATCATAAGTAGACCCAGCATCTGTGTTTGTGGAGCCTTTGTTAGCCTCAAACTCAGGTCAGTCTTTACACTAAATTGCACATCAGGTAGACACAGAAAGCAGATGTACAGTCTGACACCCTGCTGCGGCCAATTGTTATTCTATGATGCATTTTATATGGAGCATCTGAAACTATTTTTGATATTCAGGTTTATATAGTACTTCACTCAGCTGCTTATCCTAAAGAGCCTCAGATCTAGTATTTTCAAGCATATTTTCTAAGTCAATGATTTCCAACCGGGGGTACTAATGTATGTTCCACGGATCACTTCACAAAAAACTGAAACTGGAAACTGTCAACGACAAATGGTTAGTGTCCAAAAGAAAAAAGAAAAAAAAGAAAAAGATAGTTAACTAACTATATCATACCAAAAACTCTCATACCACTTTAAATACAAATGTAATTTAGTTACATTTCAAAAAGGTACCTTACATGACCATCCAATAAAAACTGATACATATTTTTCATACACATTGAAAAGATACGAGTGTACACATTTTAACCATTCTAATTAGGTTTTGCAATATATTTTTTAAAAAGGTAAAAATATCTTACAACCTGAACTAACCCTGTCATGTCAGAAAATTTTAAACTACAAGATATTTTAAGAGACTTATGACTTTGACACAAAGGTTATTCAGGGGTCTTCTCTGATATAATTTAATTATTAAAGCTAAACTGTTTATTCTTATTTTTTATTTAATTAAAATGAATTTAAAATTAATAATAAAAAATCCTACCAGTTTCCATATGTTGTGTGTGTTAGATCTCCTCCCACCCAAATAAAAGTTCATCATAATACATATGACGGTCTGTTCTAAAAAATATACCCTTCAGTACATCTGTCCTTATTCATCCAACAAATTCCTCAGTTGCAATAATTTCTTACCTCCAGAACCATCTCCCTCATGTGAAACTGCTGCTGGAGATCCTTTTCTGAAGGCAGGGGTTCGTGAAACAGCAAACACATCATGTCATACTTCTTTAATGCCTTCTTATAGTTTCTCTCATTGACATTAAGAACTCTGTCCTTGCCATCGAAACTGGGAAACTCCAGACCCTCCTCTGCAGAAGAGTACAGGAGAAAATCCATGCAGGAAACCAAGACAAGCCAGACAGACAGCATAGTAGCAAGGATTGAACAGGTGAATGAAAAGAAGAGATTGCTGGAAAGAGTCCAGGTAAGATCATGCAGGACAGTGAGGCTGACTAACAAAATGAGACTCAATGAGTAGTTCTTCAGCACTAAAAAACATCTTATGCTCTCTTCCTCCCTCTGCCACCTCACCTCTTCCCAACAATTAGACAAAGACATGATAGGATAAGATATTTGAGAAATGTTCCAATGAGTATTCCCCTGGTGAATTTAGGCCTCTTTTAGTGACCCAGTCATTTAAAGGCTAAAAATAAATCATGATCTGAAGAAAAAGAGGACAGACATGAGTACCATAGGGAATGAGAGTACACGTATCTCAACATGTAGAGGATAATCATTGTAGGAAAAAAAATCAAAATATAGGTCACCTGAACACATGAAAAGAGTCCTGTGTACCTACAGTCAGGGTACACTTTCAGGAAAAAAAGGTACAATGCACACATGTACCTTATTTACCCTAAAGTGTACATAAGTGCTTTAAAGGTACATATTAGTACCTAAAATGTACATGTTAGTACCTTAATGGTACATATTTGTACCTTTCGAAAGGTGCCGCCCCAGTGACAGTTTTTATTGTGTTTTTTTTTTCTGAGAGTGTAATAGGAATACAGGTTAACACTGGGAACATCTTGACAGAAGATCAGACATCTTGAATGACAAAGGTTATACTGTATTGATTTAGATGATGGGTACCAGCTCAGATGAGAGTAAAAGGGAAGAAGATAGCAAATGGGTGTGCAAAGAAGCACTTTGCAAAGAAAAGAGATATAGACATACATGTAAAATATACACTAATAAGAGCATCAGATGAGGAGCAGATGGTAAAAACGATGGGAGGAAGACAGAACAGGTAGATAGTTTTATAGCATTCAAATAAAAATGAAAGACGAAACCATAATCTCCAGATTTTGGCTCATTTTAGGAGGGTAAGATGGGTGAAGAAGCCCCCTTAAGAACAATGTCTGTATACTGATAAACTGTAACACATTTACATAAGTTTAGCATGTAAAGGATCATTAAGCATGACCCAACAGACTAGGAATCAAATTGAAACAGTTAACAGTTTAGTTGTAACGGCACAAAAATTAAAAATATGAAAGGAGGCCATCTTGCCCCACCACTGGAACAAAAGTTACCCCCTACCTGCGACAAGATGCCCCCAGGGGTATCTGACCTCTACAGAACATTTTATCTAAAGGCCAAATTAATCCTAATAATTTTATTTTCAGGAAATAAATGCCATTAACTTAACTGGTAAATTTGTGCATTTTGGCAATGTAATTTGAATAAATTTACTTAAATGGAATGTATCTTTATATGACAAATAAAGTACAGAAGCATATTACAGAGAGACGTATCTGAAAGTCAATTACATTCAACATTTAAACCTGAAAACATGTCACAATATAGCAAAAGTTACAATGCAATGTTTACTCCAATGTTTAGAGATCCACTAAAATACTTTATTATGTTTAATAGCCTTTATGTCAAAGTGGGGATTTCTAATCTAGTTTCAGACCATACTAGTACATTCATCGACTTCTCCTCAAATCGAGGCAGTCACGCTTAACTGATACAGAAAAATGGAGCTGCCATGGCTGCTCATGCCGTCTTTTATCCTTTTGCTGAATGGAGTTGAATTGTGTCTTGCAGATAACGGTGAGAACTTAGAGAATTTTGGTTTGACGCTGACAATTATCTATGTTTGGTCGGTCGCGTTTTAATTAGTTAACTTTCACATCTGCATTTTAATAGCGTGCTGTAGATTTCTGTACCTGCGTCTTTAGCATTAGCGGAGTTTAGACCCAGCAAACCTGATGTTTTTGGAAGTCTTAAATTCATAAAGTCATAGCATTACATGTTTTATGCATTACCAAACAACAACAAAACTTGTTTTGCGATATAAAATCCAAACATCCTTAAATGAAGATACAGTCACTTGTGATGCGAATTAACGTAATCATATGAAGTCTTTGTTTTCTGAGAACAAAATATGAGTTTATGCTTTAAAAAATAAATATCTTTTGATGGGGAAATGAAATGTTTTTTCCCCTTTGAATTAGGTCGATTTTTTGAGACCGCTGGCAAATGTTTGTTTTTATTTAATCAAACTCATTGACTTGATCAAACTTGATCATTTTAAACAATTTCTCAGAAAACAAAAGTTTTGCTTCTCAAGAAAATGTGTCATGATTAGACATTTGCAGTGGAAAACAATGCAAAAATACTGAGGACGAGCATTGCTTTTTTTGCAGTGTGATCGGAGGGTACGGGTTTTTTTGTCAAATGAATTAAAAAGTAATGGAGATCAGTTGGAAAGTGCATTTTTTTTACTTTTATGTATTGCTTATTTACATTTAGAGACACTATTGATGTATTGTGTTCCATTCCTTGGTCTTGAATTTACCTTCATAAAACCTGCAAAAACCCTGTTTTCAAAATACAGCACGTCTTACTATTATAACTGTCAACAATCTGTGTGTTTAGGAAAAAATATTGAATGAACAGATTGATTTTTTTCCCCCTCTCTTTCCATCAGCCAAACGCTGGCAGTCATTCATCAGGAAGATCACAGAAGCCACAAATAATTACCAGCCATGCAGTCAGGAGAACTGCAGCTGTCATCTCAGGTCAACTTATAAAGTAGCCCTTGTTCATAGCAGATCTTCCCAAAGAATACACACTGCAGATGCATGCATCTGTATAATGTAAACTTTCCTCCATCGCTCTTTTGATTGCAGTGTCCTGAAAGATGACCTTAGGCCATTTAAAAACGGCATGTCTGAGGGGTTGATGGCAGACACAGTCCACAGAGGTGTTGGTACGCACTACCAGATCATCGGGAACAAATTGTACAGAGAACAAAGCTGCATGTTTCCTGCAAGGTTGGTGAAGTGTACGTTATTTATTAATCATTTTTTTTGAGTAAAACCATGATCCTATTGTGTGCGTATGGATGTTGAATATCAGACATTTATCCTTTCTTTGCAGATGCAGTGGTGTCGAGCACTTCATCCTAAAAGTGGTTAACCGGTTGCCAGATTTGGAGGTGGTGATTAATGTGCGCGACTATCCACAGGTTCCTGGATGGGTTCAGCCAGTCTTGCCTGTACTTTCTTTCAGTAAGGTGTGTACAACCACACCAAGTGTAGCACCATTGAACAATGTACTAATTTGATTGTAGGGTAAATCAGTAGTATTTGGTATATCCTGCTTAATTATATTAAGGCAATTTACATTACTTTGTGCCTCTGCCTTCAGATTACTAACACTGACTGACCCCATAGCTTCACTTTTTATTAATGTAGTAAAAAATAAATACATATATATATATATATATATATATATTTATTTAATTTTTTTTGTAAAAGAATATGCATGAATAGAACATTCTATTTTCAACATTCAAAAAGTGTTTGGCTTGTTTATAAACAAAATGAATATTAGTAGGATTAATATTAGTAGGGCTCTAATTGTATTCATGTCTTTTAACATTATAGTTATACTTTTGTTAATCGTTTAGACGGCAGACTACCAGGACATCATGTATCCTGCATGGACGTTTTGGGAGGGAGGTCCTGCTGTATGGCCCATTTATCCCACTGGACTGGGCCGATGGGACCTCATGAGGGATGACCTGAAAAAGTGGGTAGCAAAGATTTAAGAATGCTTGAGAGTATACAGATGGTTAACTGCATTACAGTCGATTTCAGGCCATTATATATCTAATGTTTAGTTCACACTCTTCAGATCAGCTGCTCGATGGCCCTGGAAGAAAAAAAATCCAAAGGGATTCTTTAGAGGCTCTAGGTCAGTTGTGTTTCCAACATATAGTTAAATGCAGTGTTGTTTTCTTTGTAAGCTGATTCGTTTAGCCAATCTTTGTAGGACCAGTTCAGAAAGGGACCCTCTGATCCTTCTCTCAAGAGAAGCCCCTGACCTTGTGGATGCCGAGTATACCAAGAACCAGGCTTGGAAGTCAGAGAAGGTTTGTTTATCCTTATTTAACATATGAAAGGCATCCTTGATCAGTATCACACCATTCATTCGCTTAGGCCGCTGAACTGGTCCCCCGACTGAGCCTAGTTTCTGGCATCCCTTTTTCCTTTTCCATTTCTGTCACCTAATGGAGTTTGGGTGCCTTGCTGCTGTTGCCTTTGTCTTGGTTAGTTGGGGCCTGAAAGACACTTAACTTTCAGAAATGTGTTGATATGATCACACTGACTGACACCATCAGATAAGAACAAAACTTGAACTGACTTAAACTGGATAATAGCAGTATTCCAACAGGGCAACCCATCTGGTCTGTCTTGGACTTGGGAATCAGTAGGGTTGGGTATCGTTTGAATTTTATCGATTCTGCTTATCGTTATCGATTCCTATTCTTATCGATTCCTAGTTTCGCTTCCAGTAAGATGAAAAAATCAGATACAAAAAAAATAAGTCAAACATTTAGATATCAACCATTTATTCTGTGTCTCTTTACAAAGCATTCTGTTGCAGCTGAATAACACGAGCAAAATTCAGCAGCCTACAGATCACTTAGGCCTACAAGAGGAACTTTGCCTATGCTTTTAACAAAAATACCACAGCAAAAACAACTAGATTAATATACATTTAAAATATTAAAGTGTTAAAGACAAGTAAACAGTCCGTAATAAAACAGGAACAAACAAATCAATTAGCAATAGCATAAATATACACAACTGAACCACATTTCAGGTACAGAAACTGTAATTAAACGTTTAAAAACACTGCATGGTTTTCTTTTCATGAATAAAATGTAGATTAAAGTTATTAAATATATTCAGTCAAGATCAGTAAATGATTTTCTTTTGTTCTTTGATAAACATTATTGACAGGCAGCGCGTTTATAGGCTGCTGTCTCTTTAACACCGAACGCACGCAGACCTAAAAATACTGTACGTGCATTTTCTTTCTCATTTTCTCATTCCTTACACAATGGGGCAGTTACGCCATCTAGTGGTGGAGGACCCGACTAATTATATCAGGGTTTAAAGGGGTCATATGATGCGATTTCAAGTTTTCCTTTCTCTTTGGAGTGTTACAAGCTGATTGTGCATAGATAAGATCCCTGAAGTTGCAAAGACTAAAGTCTCAAAACCAAAGTTTACATT